AACAAGCATGATTAAAGGTCTTGAGAACATGACCTATGAAGGAAGGCTGAAAGAATTGGGTTTGTTTAGTTTGGAAAATAGAAGACTGAGAGGGGACATGATAGCAGTTTTCAGGTATCTAAAAGGGTGTGATAAGGAGGAGGGAGAAAACTTGTTCACCTTAGTCTCTTAGGATAGAACAAGAAGCAATGGGCTTAAACTGCAGCAAGGAAGGTTTAGGTTGGACATTGGGAGAAAGTTCCTGTCAGGGTGGTTAAACACTGGAATAAATTGCCTAAGGAGGTTTGAGATACATCTCTGGAGATATTTAAGAGTAGGTTAGATAAATGTCTATCAGGGATGGTCTAGACAGTATTTGGTCCTGCCGTGAGGGCAGGGGACTGGACTCGATGACCTCTCGAGGTCCCTTCCAGTCCTAGAATCTATGAATCTATCCCCGCGGTAGTGTAGACCTGCCCTTCGAAAGACCATTTCATTAATGAGCTCCAGTAATGTGTGCTGCTGTAGTGCGCTCTGCCTGGCATTGCTCTTTTGCACCCTGGTATGAACCTTGTGATGAGTGCTGTCTGTATAGTAATATAACATTGTAAATGCGCCTATTACTGTTGTCTGTGAATGATGCCTACCCAGCATATGTTGTGAACTAATAAAGATTAAGTTTCCAAAAATAGACTTTTATTCCATACCATGCAAACAGATACATTTATAGCTGAATAAAAATAAATAATGGGAAATGGGTTAGTGAGTGTCATTCACTAGCTAAGATAAATGTTGAACAGTTGAGGCCATTTTAGGCATGATCAGAACTTTGGTTTAATCCTTAGGTCTGCTCAAAAAGAATTGAAAATGTGTCAATCTTAAGAACAGACTTGGGGTAGGCTATATCTCAGGAACCCTGCAAATTTGGCTCACTTACCCAAACCCATGCCCTTCTGTGGCACACCAAATTGCAAGGCATGCAGATTTTAGAGAATTTAGAAGAGTTTACCTTTAGACAGAAAGGAGGTCTTAACTATAGCTCCACTGTAATTATTCATGAAGTAACTTTACACGTGGAATCCAGTTATAATTATCTGAATTGAATAATTTATTAGAAGGGTTCTGATTATATTAACCAATTCAAGAAACGTTTGTATGAATACATTACATGCATTGAGGAATAGGATTAGTTTCTGCTGTCCAAATTTAAATTAGATTGCAAAATAAATATGGAAAATAATTTCCCCCAGAATATTTAGCAGAACAAAGAAAATAATGTTAGCACTAGTTGTTATAAATGAGGATAGGATTTTGTCACAGATATTTTTAGTAAAAGTCATGGACAGGTCACGGGTTGGCCATGACTATTACTAAAAATATCCATGACAAAATGGGGATCTATGGGTCTCCACACCGCCTGCAGCAGGCAGCTGCGCAGGGGCTAGGAGCCGCCCGCAGCTCTGGGGGCCTGCGGTGGCCAGAAGCTTGGGGTCCCCATCCCCCCCCTGTGGCCAGGACCTGTAGGGTTCCCGGCCCGGGAGCTTGGGGAATACCCTGCAGCAGCCAGGAACTGTGGGGTACCCTGCTGCCTGCAGTGGCTTGGAGTTCTAGGGCCAGTGGGGGTACCCTGCGGTTCCTCCCTGACTAAATAATAGCCTTAGTTATAAATAAACATGAACTATATCCTTTAAGTCACAGTATAGGAAGTAGAACTATTATTTCAATTTAAGCAAAAATGTTTTGCAGTACATTAAGATATTGTTCTAATATAACTGCGTGAGAGATGCTACTACACCTCTATCCCGATATAACGCGACCCAATATAACATGAATTCGGATATAACGCGGTAAAGCAACACTCCGGGGGGGGGGGGGGAGGGCTGCGCACTCTGGCGGATCAAAGTAAGTTCGATATAACATGGTTTCACCTATAACATGGTAAGATTTTTTGCTCCCGAGGACAGCGTTATATCTGGGTAGAGGTGTATAAGAGGATCACTTTGGAATAGGGAGAAAAAAATCAGTCTTTTCTGTGTAATGTTAAATATTGCTATATTATTTGCGGGATTTTCTCAAAAGTCTCACCCCTTATCATGCTTGTAAACTTTGCTTTGACAACAAACTAGATAAGAATTCTAAAATTGATTATTTCTTCCTAGATATTGAAGCACAGATTCGAGAAATTCAAGGAAAAAAGGCTGCCCTTGATGAAGCTCAGGGAGTAGGCCTTGATTCTACAGGATACTATGATCAAGAGATTTATGGTGGCAGTGACAGCAGGTTTGCTGGATATGTGACTTCTATTGCAGCAACTGAACTAGAAGATGTAAGTGAAACATATTATTTGGTTTAGGGAAAGCCGTCAAAATAATTCAGATCTTAATTTTGTTTCTGTGAGTATTTTTAAATTAGTCAAATAAAGAAAAAAACTAGCAGATTTCTTTACAGATTGAATATTTTAATCTTAAAATTTCAAACTGCGTAAAATTTAAAATGTTAATTTACATAGATTCTAAGAGTAAAAAGAGAGAAAAGAAAAGGGATTGTCTTTTTGCGGATATTTAACTCCTCTCCTCAATAATGTCCTTAAATAAAAGACCGTCAAAATATTAACTCCCAATGTTTACAAAGTTTAGGAAAATATTTTAAGTCATAACCAAAATTCTAGTTGTGTGAATAGTCACAAAACGCCTATTAACGCCTCTGCCTATAAAGAAGTAGACCGTGTAGTTTAATAACCCAGGTATACTCTTTAAAAGAGTATATGGGGTAAGGAGAAGAGTAAACAAAACAAAAATTAAGCTGACACTTGTAATTCAAAAGTTGGTTACATAGTAGGTATTTTGATACTTGCTTACTAGTTTTTTGTTTTTTTTTGTCAAGTGCTATTAGTTGTCATTAGAAGAGGTCAAAGGCTGCATTTAAAACAGACCTAATGAAAGGGATAAAGTCAATTTAATAACTGTTTTGCAAATATTTCAGTTCAAATGGCTTACTTTTAATAGCTATTTAATAGTATTATTAAAACTTTCTACTGAACTGTAGCAGGGAATGTCTGTACTGAATATAGTTAGATTACTATATGTATAGTATATATATTGTAGGTACTTTCCACATGAGAATTTCTAATAATATTTTGTTTAGAATTCTGTTTGTGATTCAGTAGCTATTATTGAGTTGGCAGTTTCTTTATAAGTTTCTGATTCCTACCAGCCCCCACCCCCAGATTTCCCTCCTGAAATTTTGTCATTCACATAGCCATTTTCTTTTCATAATTTCAGATTGAATTGCTTTACTGGAGATTGTGTAGAGTGGAGATTCTTTTTATTAGGTATATTACATGTCTCTGGCATCTTACATTTCCAACAATTGATGTTGGAGATCATCTGGTACTTCTATTTAACAAGTATAGACAATTTACTTCATGCTTGGCAACATGTGGCAGAACACATGATGCCTGCACCTTGGCAAGCTATATTTTAATAACGTAGGTAGGATCATCTGCTCAGCAGTTGATTTTTTTGGAGTAAAACTGTACCTTTATGAGCAGGGGGATAAAGTATAGAGTAAATGTAGCTGGTTCTATTTCGATACAATATAGAAATCCGTAGCTATAAAATGTAAATCTTGCAATATGCAGTTTAAAATAAACAATATATTTATCTTTCTGAACATTTTGTTTTGACAGGATGATGACGACTACTCCTCTACAAGTTTGCTTGGTCAGAAGAAGCCAGGGTACCATGCTCCAGTGGCATTACTTAATGATATACCACAGTCAACTGAACAGGTGAATTTTCTTAAATTTATGAGTATAGCGCAAAGTCATTCTAGGTTTTTAGTGTAAGTGTTTTTGGTGTTTAGTAAAACATTTTACAACATATTATCCTAAAGTGGCTCCTGTAGCTTTTATGTTCCATATTTTTAAGACTTTAAAAGCCATTTGGAAAAATACATTAGTTCTTTCACTATGAAACTGGCAGTTCTATAATTACTAAAAACAGGGTCAAGTGCTTGAAAATCATCTTTATAAGGAGGAGAAAAAACTAGAATTAAGTGAAAGCAATTCATGTAAAGCATGGTAATGTGGTTTAGTCAGGAGTGTCTGCTGGACAGAAATTCACTGGTAGCAATCATTTTTTCCAGTTGTAAAGGGTAATCTCCTCTCAGTTTACTGTTCCGATGTTTTATGATTTGAGACTGTAAAATAAATCCTAACCTATATGACAATACTGGAAACCCACATGGGTTTACCTTTCTACCACTCATCGGATATCTTTCATGCTGCTATTTTGTATAGTGGGCTAACAATCAAATATTCTTTACTTTAAGTATGATCCCTTTGCTGAACATCGTCCACAGAAGATTGCAGATAGAGAAGATGAATATAAAAAGCACAGACGGATGATGATCATTTCTCCTGAGCGTCTTGATCCTTTTGCAGATGGTAATTGGTTTCACTTTTTTATAGATCTTATCAAGTTTGTTGTCTTAAATTGTCTTTAGCCCTTTGATTTCTTTTGGCATGCTTATGAACTTAGTTTTGTTTTAAACATCCCCTTTTTTATATAGATTTTTATAGATTTGGTTGAAATCATAGATGTCATATTTTTCATCTTTATAACACAAGTTTTCTTTCCAGGTAGAAGGACAAGAAAATAATGAGCCATTGCCATAGAAACACAAAGGGTTAAAGGTTTCTCTTTTCATTTTGTTTTGGGTTGTGTACTGTACTTTGAACAACTTATGTATTTTGTGCTCAAAATAAATGTACGTTGAGTACATGGAAAGTTTTCATTCCAAATCATAGATTTACAGGATTATTGCTTTTGAAATGCTAATTCTCAAAATAGAGCACATAATTCTTACCATCTTATGTTAATGCAGGTAGTATAGCTGAGTGAAACAAAAAGCATATAAAGAGACTTTGATACTTTTAATAGTGCAAGTCTGTTCTGCTAATTTTAGTATGCAAGTCAGCACAAGGGGCATAATGGGCCTGATGGAAGTTTTCCTCAGGTGAGTGAGTTTCACAAGTGAAAATAAGGCGCCTGTTTGCTTAAAATTAGAATCTGTTGCAGGTTTTACAAATTAGAATTTCAGCCTGCATGAATTAATAGGGATATTAATTATTTTACTTGCTTAATTGTAATAATTGATATAAACATGTTTTGTCAGAATTCACAGGCCCATACTAACTGTCCTTAATTTCTTTCCTACAGCAGTACTGCTATATGCCAGTCCTGTCTGCATTCTTAAGGGTGCAGTTCAACACATCCTGTGTAAATTATGGTGAAAAAGTATTCCAAAGGAAAGTCCTATCAAAGCTAGTGTCAGAATGACACTGCCAATTGGGCAATGATCTTCAGTATAGAAAATGTTTAAGAATTTTATTTTTCCTAAATTGTAATGCTATACTGCTTGTATAGCAAATCTGCACATTTTTTTAGAATAGTGTGTCCATGATAAGTCTCATTTTTATATACTTGGGCTTCCGTAAAGTATTTAAAAGTTAAAATAAAATCTCAAGTTACACAGAATAAAACATGGTATACAAAAATCTTTTTGCCTGTGAGTATCATCGTGATGGTAAATGTACTGTATTACAATCAACTCCCAATTGTAATTGTACCTTCAGAAGAAGAGAGGGTCAAATAGTATAATTTCATTTTTTTATAATATAAAAAATGAAGCCCTTCTACAATATGACACCTCAAAATAAAGAACTAGAGGATTTTTTTTGTCCAAATTTGTCAAATGTATAAACTGGTCTTTATGCTAAAACATTTTGAATCATTATCTAGGTATACTGTAGTTATTCATAGTCAGATAACAAGTAGGATTTAACAGCTTACACAAGGTAATGTTTTGAATATAAATATCTTTCCAAAGTGTTACTAATGGTAAAGAGATAATTTTCTAGGCTTCTATTCTGCTGCTTGAAGTCAGAACTGCTGATGGACACAAAGGCACGAAAGTGTACGTATTCCGGATTAGCAACCCAGGAACCCATCACTTCTGAAGACTCTTAACTGTGTTGTCATTTTATCATTTTTATCTGCTTTAAAATATTTGTTTTAAACTGCAGTAGTTATGTTTGTGTTCAAACAGGTTAAATTGATCAACAAACTGAATAAACGTAAGATACGTGTAATTTTTAAAAAAATTCAATCAAAAAAGTAAAATTAAGTGATTATGGAATAATATAATATTAGAGCAGGACAATGAAAAAAGTAGATTTTTTTGATTATCCTGTACTTATTGTATTCCTGTCCTGTTGCTGTTCTCTTCTGCAGGAGGGAAGACACCTGATCCTAAAATGAATGCCAGAACATATATGGATGTTATGCGTGAACAGCATTTAACAAAAGAAGAGGTCTGTTATCTTTTTGATCTGAGCTTAATGCTTTATTTGTTTTGTCTTGGATTTTTAAAGGAACGCGGGCCTTAGGCTCCTTTGAAATCCAGTCTTCATGTGTAAATGGTTATTACTTGTTTAAATATCACATTTGTTTGAAAGCTTATCTACTAGGGTTCAAAATAATAGCTAAGATAACCATGGAGGAGGAAAATCTTTTTGTTGTTCCTTTAATACGCACAAAGTAAATTACTTCCTGTTCAGTCAGTTATAGTCAGATTCCCATGTTGATCTTTCATGCAGCATAGACAAGAGAGAGATTTTTAAAAAGTGATTGTAAAACCCCGAAACAATTGCCAGAGGATTCTGATGACAGATATCATATCTGAACGTGCATTTAGTTCATTTAAAAAAAATCTTAAATCACTAGAGAATTCGAGTTGATTGTGTTTCTTTAAATTTGGCCTAAAATTTAAATTTGTTTTTAAAAGAAAAATAAAGTATTTTAGAAGACTTTGAACTGGTTTCCCTATTTGGAATAGATTCCAAATAGGTTTTTTAAGACATTTTTTTGCTGCAGTATTTGAAACCCACGTATTGGGGTGGCTTCTGAGACCTTATCCGTTCAGTAGCCTCCCAATACCTTATTCACTCGCTTCCCAAGAACTCAGCTTAACTCCAAACTTGTCTCTGAGGTTTCTTTATTGGCATCTAGTCAAACTATGCTTGAGCTGATCAGGCTCAAGCAAAAGGAGTGGGTACCCGGCATACAACATACCCAGAGTTAGAGCAAACCCTTTCCTTTAAATACGTTTACACATGACATTGTATTTACTATATATTACATCGTACATTTTGTGATTAGCTTGGTTACATTGTAGGAACCAGTCCTTGTACAGCATGCTCTGTCCATGTATGACTTACTCTTTACCTCATCTTCATATTCCTGATTTATCTTGTCCATTGTAAATGGTTCTCTGGGTGTTCCCCCTTATCTTAGCTAGTACAGCCTGCTGATCCATTTACCTCTGTAGTCCTGTCTCCCAAGATGTGAGGCCTCATGCATGTCTAACTACTCATGTCAAGCCACGCCTACATTCCACTGCTTTTGTTTTTGTTATTTATATTAGCATTCATTTAATTTGCATCATATTCCTGCCTCTTTGTGGTTTCTTTTTTAAGTTCACTACCCAGCAACTACCCAGTTCCCAAGATTATAGTACTTGTAGTTATTTGAACTACCATTAATATTAGGCTTAAAGTACACGCCACAGGGTGAAAGCTCACCTCACTCATTAGGGCGTAATTCTATATTATAAGTTTGCTCTGCCTTTAGAGCATCTTGCTGTAATTTTAACTTTGCTTTTATTTTAATTACATTATAAAAAACTGGTACAAAATATAACAATTTTTCCATTTATTACCCTAGGAAATTTAGGTGTGAAACAGTACCTAGGCCAATTAAAGTACCATTCTTAGGTCCATACCAGAAATAGTCCTCTTCAGCTGCCATACAATACTTGTTACCACTAGCATAGGCAGTTTTTTCTTTATGAATGTTCCAGCATCTAAACTGTACTGTTCTCCTGGAGTGAATCCACATGCTAGCAACTCTGTCTGTAAGACATTACACCTGCATATGTAAGTATCCCCCTAGGTGCAAACAGCAGGATGTCTGGGGCTTTCCAGATCTTTCGTGGCTTGCAACAGTATTTGAGGAAGGAAAACAAACGCCTTCCACCCTAAAAATGTGGGACAAACGCCTTCCACCCTAAAAATGTGGGACAAACGCCTTCCACCCTAAAAATGTGGGACAAGAGAGGTAACACCAGCTACTCAAGGTAAGAAAATTAACCAGGGTCCAATACCATGAAGTTAAATGCG